TTCTCTGTGTGGATCACCATTGGAGGCTGGACAATTGGACAGCTTGGATTGCAGATCGTGATCATTGGAGTTCAAGAAAAAGCAAAAGAGTTTGTGGAATTCATCAAAGGTATTATTTTCATCACAGTTTCTATCTAAACACATTGCAGATCCTCGTTTGGGAATTGAAAATTGTTTTATTTCCGCTGTGCATGATTAAGTAAATTCCCAACAGTTATTAAGATTGATAAAATCATTATCGAACATAGGAGACGTGTCAATTGTGTGTTATTGCCACCAAACATAGACAACTTATTTATTGGGATTCATTTCTATATATAAAAAATATGGGAATGTATAAATAGAAAATAGAAAATAATATATGAACAATTGAGTTGAACTTGAAGTGAGAAAATATGAAATTAAAAAAAAAAAAAAATTTGTGTAACTTGTGTTTGTATGAGTATATTGAATTGAATAGTAGGAATTGAGTTCAGAATTGAGAAATTTGTAAATGATATGTTGTAAAGAATTAGTGTGAAAAAATGGATTAAAATGGTGATTATTTATATAACTAAAAATAAATAAAAAATTGTCAAAAGTGATTACATTTTCAACTTTAAAAATTGAAAGTGCGATTATATTTTGGAAAAATGTGATTGTCCGATAACATTTTCAACACGAGCTCGTGGACAGGGTTAGGAGGTGAGCCGAACAGATTTTTTTGGGGCTGGCTCGTGCTATGACTTTCTAGATGAGTTCGAACAATCCATGGATCCAGTCCAATTGAGTCGAGTGGACGAGTCGACTATAGAAGACTGATTGAGGAGTTGGTTGTTTTTATTTCTATTTTTCTTCTTTTTCATTTTCGATTAAACTGAAATTGGATTTTGGTGAATACAAATATTCTTAAATAATTAAAAGATAATTGGCGCAAAACGTCCATACATTTAAAGATTTTTGTGGAAAACATCCGTACCTTTCGTTTTTTGGCGCAGAACGTCCATACATTTCACATTCTTTGCGCCGAAGGTCTTTTTCACCAATTTTAACATAAAATGACCAATATATCCTCCTATATAAATAAAAGAAAAAAGAAATGTAAAGAAAAATAAAGAATAAATTGCAATCTGCTTCTAAACTTTTTTTAAAAATGCAAATCAATCCAAAACTTATGAAAATATTAAAAATAACAAAAAAAGTGACTAAACAAGAAACACTACAGTAAGTCCTACCTGGGAGTTCCAAAAAATCTATCTCAAATTATCAGCTCTGAAGAAAGAATCTTTAATTCTCCAATTGCCTGATGTGTATAACTTTGAATATCAGTACTAGTATTTTTTGCTCTTGTTGAGAACTCGAGTTCTTGACAGATGATCAAAATGGGGGTGGTTTTGTCAATATTTATTGTGTTTTTTTTTTCTTTTTGTTCGCCTTGCTCATATAGATTCTGGAATACAATTATTGACAGAAAATTCATATATATCTTCAATCGGGGACCCAAGAATGAAGAACCCAAATGCCAGATTTGGGTTATAAGCTTGGAATTTCTGCAATGAAGTAGGCATCGAAGCACCTTGCAATTGAGTGAATACTAAGTGTTTTTTGAACCTGAATTTCATTTTCCCCAAGTTGATTTGTATGTTGAAACACAATTGAGCCATCAATTGAATTAAAATCAGGTTGTTCACTTGCACGGACCGTTCTTGGCTTAGGATTAGAAATTGGCTCATTCAAATGGTGATTTGGTGCAATTAAATCATTGTCCATGGTCGTTCCAGCATGAATAGAAGATATCTTGGTAGACGCACTGAGCACGGATTGCCTCAATTCATCAATTGATTGAGGGTCGTCGGAGACGCATTGAGCACGGATTGCCTCAGTTTGATTCGCCGAATAAAGACCAAATGGGTGGTGACCTATGCTTGCATTAGATGCGCCAGAGTGAGAGGGTACAGAGTGGGTGGTCCACGATCATGGGACCTACAAACGGTGTCGAAAAAAGGACTTGAAATCTGTATTTTTGCTAGGTTCGAAAAGGCAGATTGTAGGTGTTGATTTGTTGCATTTTTTGATGTTTGAAGATCACAAATAGGTGCATCCCTATGAGTAAAGTCGACCAGTATGTTGGGCATGGCTTGGTTGTCGCTAGAATGGGTTGTGCCGGTAGTTTTTTAGTGCGTGAATGTCTGGTTTTCAATTGAAATTCCGGCCAAACCTGCTGGACTTAGGGTCGATTGTTGGTGGGGATGTATAGAGGGTAACATGGTTTCAACGTCCGACAGCTTGGGTGGCTGGAGGCTGCCGAAATTTGGACGTACCGGGCTGAAAAAAGGGCAAAAAATCGCCATTTTTTTGGACTGATTTGCATTTTTTAAAAAAAGTAGGTGCATATTGCAATTTATTTTTTATTTTTCTTTTCTTTTCTTTTTTGTTTTATTTATATACGAGGGTATATTGGTCATTTTATATTAAAAATTGGTGAAAATGATCTTTAGCACAAAGAATATGAAAGGTAGAGACGTTCTGCGCCAAAAAATGAAAAGTATGAACGTTTTGCGCCAATTATCCATAATTAAAGGCCGAAAAATTCCTTAATGGGGTGTTTGTTTAAGATTTTTGGGGGGAAGAATTGATTTTTGAATAATGATATGATGGGAAATGTGTGGTTGAAAAAAAAGAAAAAATTATTGATGTGATGAAAAATATTATTTTATTGAAAAATGTGTGATTAAAAATGAGAATTAATTTACTGTAAAATTTGAGAATCTCAGACAAAAAATCTCTAAATCTAATCGTGCCCAAACTATACTCAAGCCATTGAATGCCTCAAGTCAAATCATTTTCACCCTACCAAAACCTCACTGAAAATGTCACACGCAACGATGGTGGCTACAGCTTCGCCGCGTGTCCCAGCCGTGCGCTTGGCCGCTAACCGGCCGCGGCGGCAGAGACCACCCTCGAAGGTCCCAAACAAAGACCAAAACCGGAATCTCTCTAAAAACCCTGCTCTTGGCTTTGGTATCAAGAAGAAAAATCCTGTGTGGCAGTGTGTACAGAACTGCGGTGCTTGCTGTAAGCTCGACAAGGGCCCCGCATTCCCCTACCCTGAAGAAATCTTTGAGGACCCTTCTGACATCGAGGTCCCTATCCGCAACCTTCTTGCTCAAGCAGTGTGTGTAATGTGCGTGTGTATTCTTATGGGTTGTTGCGAATTTCTGAAACTATAACTGCTCATACATGGTGATTTGTTCCAGTTATATAAAAGCTTGACTGGTCCGGATGGGTGGTGCATTCACTATGAAAAGAGCACAAGAAAATGCTCCATTTATGCAGGTGAATATCTATAATTTTTATTTTGAGATTTATTTCTGTTGGGCATGTTTGGTGGTGGTGAATTGCGCCCTTCAGTTTTGTGATTTTTCGAATACTAATTTGAAAACATTTTTTATTCAATTACTGTGGCCGAATTTCACTTCACTAAGGCTTCCTTAAGATTTTGTTTGTTAATGTGCTTAGAATAAGCTGATTTTTTTATTCTTGAATCATTATTTTTAACTATAGATCGTCCATATTTCTGTCGAGTGGAGCCCGGCATTTTCGAGGAATTGTATGGAATTGACAAGAAAAAGTTCCACAAGGAAGCTTGCAGGTTATACATACTTAGCAATTTCCATTTTTACTTCTCATTAGGCTTTGTGAAAGTTGAATGCTTCTTCATTCATAAGTGTTCAGTTTCTGTGTCATGACATTTGAAAACCATTCATCAATGCAAACATTGTTAGTTTTTGATGAACATTTTCGACTCCAGTTCTTGTGTAGATACAATTAAAGCTGTGTATGGATTACAATCGAAAGAGTTGGATAATTTTAAACGTGCAATATGGAGCATGAGCTCACAATGACGAATCAACTAGGTGCTTTATAAAACCTTAAAGGGTTCTTATTTTTTAAATGAGGTTAGTATTCGCATGTGAAATCTGGGTTCAATCTGACGCAGGTAACTATTTATTTGCCAGACAGTTTTCGGTTCATCAACCCCTTGGTTAGTGTCCTTGAATGGGATCTGCGGATGAGATGGTTACCAGAAAATGCGATGGAGTATATCTTAATCCAAATTTAAGGCATTCCTTTAATGAGTTAAATAACTTCTGAAGGTAAGGTATGCTCAAATTATCTCTGTAATGGTATGCAGATTGTCAATGACATGGGTTTTAGTTTAATGCTTGCTGAACCTGATTGGCACTTCATTTAACTGAGGACTTCATTAACCCTGTCCTCAAGCCTTTCTTAGTTAACTTTATGTCTTGCTTGATTGAGTTTTATCTGGTTTGTAGTTAATTTTCTTAAAAATGAAATTTAAATGATATAAAAAATGTAAATTCCTTCTTTAATGAGAAAGGGATTCCTTTCCTTTTTTTTCTCACTTAAGTCAAGAAGTCAACGACTACATTAATTTGGAAGGAATCCATTTTCCATATTTAATTCCGTGAAATTGATTGATTGTCACAAAGTTGGTTTGATACTTCAGTTTGACGATTCAGTTAGTTGAAATCATTTGGATGCTGTGAAAATTGTCTCGTTGCACTGCTTTATGTGACGATAATGCTTACTGGCATTACCATAGCATGCTTAGTTCTTTTCTATTTTCTCTTCTAAATACCCTGCTCCATTCTGTTCGAAAGTTTTATGCCGCATCATGATTGTCTGTCTTTTCTTTCATGCAAAATAAGTAGAATAACATCATAGTTCTATTGGAGCTTATCGAACTCCACTTTTTACAGATAAATGGCTCCTGCTTTATGGAGTCCACCCTTCATGTATGATATGGATGGCAACGACCCACAAACAGATTAACACTGGTAGTTTTTAGATTTACAACTTGGCATCTTGAAACAGTTCTTTATACGCTAGAAAAAGAATCTACATAAAGTTGTGTTTTGAAGGATTGAGATATTAGCTACATTTTAGGATAAGAAACATCAAAGGGTAAGTCCAATGCACTAAAATACAATGTGGGGCATTCTAGTGTCTATTAACTGGTGTTTAGATATCTGCCTAAAAGATTAAGACTGAAGGGCTTCCTTCAATTGCAACACAAGTATTGTACAACTGTTAGTTTCTGTACAAGAACAGTATTTTGTTAATGTAAACTTTGTTTCATTGCGTAAAAATGATGATTTATACAAGTAACTTCCACCAAACTATCAAATATCGAGATTCTGAACTACAAAATCTTCACTAATTTGCTTGAAGATCGATATGAAATTGGCTGCTATCAAGTGATTAGCTAGAATTGAGACTGTCAAATAAGGACATATATCTTAACACACTAATATCCTTTGACCAGCTGCAATTCCTAAATTAATGTAGGTAGTTGCAAAGTGAATGTATCTAAGCACAACAATGACTCTTGATTAGGGATGGCTAATGCCTCTCTCTCTCTTCACTGAGCCCTGAGTGGGGCAGGGGAACATATAGGCCACCCTGTTCCCGTCCTGTTGCCACCCTACTCTTGATTTTCATAGATATCCTTTAGCCTGTAATGTGTGACAATTTACTGAGTGTTCCACCATCATCCAGAGAATATGTAAAGTTAGCTTATCAATTCATGGTGGTATAAGATGCTCTTCACCATCTTTTCTTCTTTTGTAGAATCTTCCTACTTTTTTATGATATTCAATGGTAAAGGCACTTGAACCGTTTGTACAACCACCAAATTCCAAAAAGACTTCCTTATATTTTGACTTTGCCTCAAATTACTATACTTGTAGATATATGTAAATTGTACTGACCCATGTGTCTATATCTATACATTTTTTTCTATAGAACACACACACACACACACACACACACACACACACACAGAATTTCTTTGTACTGTGATGTTCAACTGCAGCCTTGTAATTAGTGAGGTTGAGCCTTAGCCTGAATTTGGCGACTATAATTCCTATTATCTCACTTGGTACGACGGTAGCTATGGTGATGTTGGCCCTTATGAGCAGCCACTTTCATCTTCTCAATAGGCCCTATTATGATTATAACTCCTCAATTCACGAGGAAGCTGATGAGGGAATGCAATTGCCTTGTGGTGGTGGGAAAATGCTCGGAGGTGATGTCTATTCTGACAAAAGGTATGACGCCTTATGGTGGTTGTGGGAAAATGCTCGGAGGTTATGAATCCTACGTTGGTGGCTACTGGGGTGAAGATGATGTCTATTCTGACAAAGGGTATGACGCATATGGCAGCAGCTTAGATGAGGAAGACAATCATTATCAGGGCAAAGAAAATTTGAGCAGTTACTATATATCTAACGATGATATGCAACTCAGCTATGGTGATGATCAGTGGTCTTCGTATGGTGGTTTTATTTTAGGATTGGGTGGTATGGAAGATTTTCATGACCATGACTACCAAGAGCTTCCATATAATAACAGATTGGATGAATCTAATGAGATGATACCTCTTTGGTTACTCCGCTAGTGGATTGAGAGACTTACCAGCAAACCCACGTTGAACCAGCAGATGTCTATGGCGTTGTATCTGTCTCTCTCCGCCTTCTGAATTCTCTCTCCCTGCATGTACTTGACGCTGTTGAATAATGGATACCTAAGTCAAATGTCAGTTCAAAACATATAAAATTTCTTTCTTGCTCAAAAAGAATTAAAGTAGTCTACTCATTCTAACTTCTGATACGTTCAACAGTTCCTCTATTCAATCTCACATTTAATCGCAATTTATGTACATTCCTTGGCATTCACCCGTATCCGTAAAAAGGGAAAAAGACCATGCAACATGGCTTTTTTTGTTTTTGGTTTTTTTTATTCACACACTTATGTATCTACTCCTGAAGAAAATCTCCCTTAACAAATCACAACTTTGCAAATGGACTTCCGAGGCAGGAGAACTTTTACTTTCAAACTTCACTGCCAAGAGGGCCAATTCCAAATTCATCCTCGATGTCATCACCTTCTTCGAACAGTTTCAGGAACCGTGCCTGCTCTTGCTGCCTCTTCCTTTTCTGCCAAAACTTGAGTGCAGTTACCAATCCAGCAATAAAAACTGTTGAAACTACAGCACTGATGAACACAATTAGAGCCCAATGCATTCCACCCGAGCTGTTTTCAGAGGTAGATGAATGGCCTGAAGCTAGAAAGATAACAAACAAGATTAGAATTCAAGATGCAAATTTGCATTCATGCAACAGCATATGTACACGCTCATATACAGAACTCATTTATCGAAGATAAGAACTCATTGTATAAAACATCTAATGTAGGCCATACATGAATTTCCTTGTACTCAGAGCGACTTGGGTTAGAATTTTCGCTATTATTAATAGACATTGAAAGAACCCAAACCAACATTATCTACATTACTTTAATCATGGCATTGCTAAGTGCCCAAGAACCATAAATACGAAAACTTTTATAGTTATAAATGCAGCATATAGTTGAAATAGAAAATCTATGAGGTTTGTCACAAGTCGAATCTGGCGACATTGCAGAAAGAAGCCCAGTACTTCCCTCCCCTATGACTAAAGGAAAAACACAATAAAGTTTGGTTATAAAAAACAAACAGGGGATCAAATTCTATAACACGCAGATCGTTACTTTTAGCCAGGAACCCACACCAGCAGCACCAAACAAGCTATACCTTGTTCCTAGTAAACCGGGGCCTGTTGCATGAATCCTTTTTCGCCACTCTGTTCATTAACGGCTGAAAACCATGGTTATGGGTATAATGATTTCATTTCACAAACTTTTACACCAACTTGGGATGTCGCAAGTTTCTGGTGTTTCACTTGCCTTCTATGACACTTAGAAAAGCACGTAAGAATGTTCTTAATATGATGATGTTCCATCAGAAAAAGAAAGTGTTTTCTTTTATATAAAAATGATTGAACCAGCTAACTCTTCAAGGATTGGTATCATCAGTTATAAATGCAGCATACAGTTGAAATAGAAAATCTATGAGGTTTGTCACAAGTCGAATCTGGCGACATTGCAGAAAGAAGCCCAGTACTTCCCTCCCCTATGAATAAAGGAAAAACACAATAAAGTTTGGTTATAAAAAACAAACAGGGGATCAAATTCTATAACACGCAGATCGTTACTTTTAGCCAGGAACCCACACCAGCAGCACCAAAAAAACTATACCTTGTTCCTAGTAAACCGTGGCCTGCTGCATGAATCCTTTTTCGCCACTCCATTCATTAACGGCTGAAAACCATGGTTATGGGTATAATGATTTCATTTCACAAACTTTTACACCAACTTGGGATGTGGCAACTTTCAGGCAGAAAATGTTTCACTTGCCTTCTATGACACTTAGAAAAGCACGAAAGAATGTTCTTAATATGATGATGTTCCATAAGAAAAAGAAAGTGTTTTCTTCTATATAAAAATGATTGAACCAGCTATTCCATCAAGATGCATAAAGGCTACACACCTACATCAAATGCGTGAAGTGAAGGATGCGTAAAATTCCAAGAGCAAAGTCAGTACTCACCATTTCCAAAAGGGACACATTCTGGACACGAAAATGTTGCATTGAATTCTGTGTCTTTCAAATGAATATATTTCCCATCAGACTTTGTAAAATCAGAAGCGCAAAACTCCCATTCATCAAATGCATCATCTGACTTAATGGTGTCCTCTTCATAGAACCCACAGCGCTTACATTTCTTATCTTGCAGTTCTGTTAGTGGCTGAAAAGAGCAAAAGAAAGATTACTTTCTCAGTGTTAATCTTCCATGCTACACAAGATGTGAAAATCTAATACAAATGCCAGGTTCTCTACTAAAAACAATTGATGAATTGGTGCAGGTAGCCAGCGGACTCGAGTTCTATAGAACAAAATGGAGACAAGAACTAAACCTAGAGAAACACTTGTATCCATTATCCAACGTCACCAAAAGTCAGGCACAAATCACTGAGTATAACTTCCTTGACACATCCCGAATACAGGAGTTCTGCTTGTTTTCCTTTCACAGGAAAAACAGGCATATTCATAAGAACATTATGGTGTAAAAATGGAAGATCAGCAACTTCTTAATGTGCAGTGGCTATTTTCTTTCAGGAGCAAGAACAGAGAGAGAGTGTGGAAGGAGCGGGCTCTACATTGCATCAGCATGAACGAGCATTTGCACTTGGCATTAAAATATATCAACTTGACCTTAGCCGACCAAAACAACATAAGGGGGAAATTCTGTAAAACTGAGATAATATTCACTGATCAGTTACCTGCCAAGACTCTTCACCTTTAAAGGTATACAAGAGATGCTTTTCCTTCACATCAGGTAAAATTGTCTTGTTCTCCCCTTTACACAGGAAGTAAACTGTAGGTTTGGACGGTAACCAATCATGTGTTTTATATATCTCAATGGAATCAAGTGTAATGGTAGCAGCTGATATAAACACTGCACAAGAAAAAAGAATCTTAAGCAATGTTAATTTGAGTGATTTAATGTCTATCATGACCCAATTTCAACAGAAACAAAAAATAACCATGTCTCGAGAAATCTTGCTCGATAAAGGGGGAAAAATGACTTTCATCCCCATTGTTCGAAAATACTCATCAACAAAGACTACGCCCCTCTTTGACAACCATTATTTGGGTAAAATTGAGTTTTGAATAGTGATTTTTTGAAGAATATGAGATTAAAAAGTAGTAAAAAAAAGTTTCGAGTTTACGTTTAGAATATTTTATCACGTGAATGTTTCACGTGGTTGAAAATGAGTATATATAAAAAAGAGTTGAAATAATGACTGTCAAACATGGCTGTATAGATAAGTTGGTGCGAAAATAATATACAGTTGCAAAATGAGGAATGACTAAACTAGTATTGAACGAGATTCTTTTTCCTGTGATATTCTAAACTTCAACTACACTTCTATCAGGTTTCATAACAAACAATCTGAGATTTTTTCATTTTTATTGTCATTTTTTTCTGGGTAGCAACAGTCGCATGAAAAACAAGAAAGTATACCAATTTAATTTCTCAGAAATGGTTTCTACTGGCAGAAATACTATTCTTCCCCAAGTACCCATAGAAAGAACCAGGAATAAAATAACATAATCCCTGCTATAAATTACCAGTAACGAAAGAAGCAAAAATCCTTTAAATATATTTTTATTTATGACTTCCATAAATAAATGAAAAAAAAAGAAGAAGAAAGAAAGAGAACTCAGCTTCCCCTCCCCACAATAACAATAAAAAAAACCGAGAAAGATCAGACTGCGTAATCAGTTTAATAATCTATATCAGAATTAGATAAACAATAAAAACTAAATAATTCGAATGGAAATTAATGCATCAAAATGGGGGAAATTTACCTGGAATGTAACAGAGAAAAATCGATACACGAGGTACCATCATAACAATCGTTGTCGCTGCACTTGATTAAGATCGATCCTTTAAATACTACAAACTATTAGTGGACAGAAATCAGGGTTTGTCCGAATTGATTTTTAAGTCAAAAGCTGGCGTAAAGAAAGATCAATCGTGGTAGAGGAGAATTGGCTGAGCGCGTTTTTCAACGGTCGTGGTATTAGCAGATTGTGCGCTTCGCAGTTGGAGTTGTACCAAGCAAATGCAAAGGATGGAATTGTGAACCGACATTACAAAAGCGTTAGTTAAGTTAGGTATTTCTTACATTTATTTATTTATTTTTTTGGTTTATTATATTTATATGCTAAATTACTGGACTTCAATAGTAGATTGATAGAGAATGCGTTGTTAAAAAATAAGATAATGTTTTGAATTTGCTTGTAATATTATTTTATTGAAAAATGTGTGATTGAGAATAAAAGAGAGAAAATTATACTTATGAAATAATGGAAATTAAACGAGGGTTTATGCAGTTTGAAGTGAACAAAATATTACTACATTCATGTCTCGTAGAGATAGTCATGTTTTTCTTTTTTCGTCTGTCCCATATTAAAGTTTTGTTTCTTATTTGAAAATGTAGTTAATATATTAGTTTTCTAATATACCATTATTTAATGTGTTTTGTTATAATAAATATAAATTACTTCATTATTTAATTGTAATTGGAACAATATATTAATATTTATTCATTTGTATTTATATTGGATGATTTTGAAATGTTAATTACATCTATTCTTGCATTAAACAATGACTAGTACCATGAGAGCAAGTAACTTTCTTCTTTGTTAATATATTTAAGAGGGAAAATTATCAAATTTATAGAAGTCACATGCATTACCTAACATATTATTACATGTAAGTTTGAGCCCCATTTTTTCATTACGAATGCATTTTGAAATAGTAGATTAATAGAGAATGTGTAATTAAAACAATAAGAAAAAAATTTGAATTTACGTGTAATATTATTTTATTGAAAAATGAGTGGTTAAAAAAAAGGAGATAAAAAAAAAGGCATAATAAGTATTTATATTAGATTTTGCTATTTGTACATAAAAAAACGTATATAATGGATTACATAATATAATGTAAAGAGAAAAGATTAGATTAAAAAATTAATTATATTTTAAACTGACAAATAGTAGAATATCATATTACATTATGTAATCTATTATATAATTCTTGACGTACATGTAACAACATCCGTTTATATTACATTCCGAAGGAGCATAAATGTTTCATTACATAAAATGTCGTTAGTTTACCGTTGTTTGATAAATCAACCTATTTGGTTTTGATAAAAATAAAATTTTTAGTAGATTTTGATAAAAAATGAAGAAACGTTTTGTTGAAAAGTTGAACACGAAATTTACGGAAAATTTTCCTCACCTTTGATTATTCCTCCGGTGGTAATACAATTTTAGAAGCTTAAATCAAATTATAATTCCCCCTCCCTTTCCAACTTTTCACCTCATTTGCCGCTTCTCTCCCTTTACGAGAGTGAGTGTGGCAATCAATATTGCAAAAATCAAGAATCTGCCAGAATAAATACACCAAAAATGTCGAAGGCTAAAATTCTTGCAGGTTGGATTTGGATCACTTTCATTGTTTTCTCCCAAGCCAAAGTGATCCATGACACCCCGAAAAACTTATTGAAGAAGCGGGTGATGAGAGCATTCAACCGCCAAACCAGCTCCCCTCCTCCCCCATTTGTGCCTATATACGACGAGCATCAAGCCGCGTATGTCAAAGCCCACAATGACCTCAGGAGGAAAGTTGGCGTCCCGCCATTGACGTGGGACGCGAATTTAACTTCGGCCGCTCGTTCATGGGCGGAGCAGCGCAAGGTCGATTGCGATTACAGGCATCATTCCCCTGGAAAATATGGTGAGAATCTTTTTTGGATGCAATATTCGGAGTTTACACCGGCTTCTGTGGTACAACATTGGTTCAATGAACAACAGTTTTTCGATCATACCAAGAATCTTTGCCTGTGCCAACCGCAGACAGATGGCTGTGAATGTGGCCATTATTTGAATGTGATATGGGAAACTACCACAAGGGTTGAGTGCAGTGGCTCTGTTTATTGCGACGATCAAAAGGGTGTTTACGTTGTGTGTTCCTATGATCCTGCGGGGAATATAAAGGGTATGGACCCATTAAATCCTGGTAATTGAGGAGGATTTTCAATTGTTGGTCAGTTTTGTTAGGTATATCTCTACAATAATTTTGACTTTTAAGCTAAGCCAAATGTCGTAATGGGACGAGAGTGTTCCTTCGTCCTGCTTATTTTTTTCAAGGATGTAGTTTCGAAAGCGTTGCCATTATATATTAGATTTGTATGTCTGCTTGTAATTTCTGCTATTCTTTGAAATCTAAGATTCTTGTAGGGATTTCGACACGAAGAAAAAAATTCTTTAGTTTTAATCATTTATCTTGTCATAAATTCTTCACGGTTTATCCTTGATAAAATCAAGTACTTACCGCTAACCCTTGAGGTAGCATTTGACATACAAATAGAATAATCCTTATAAATTTATTCTGTAGGCTTCTACAAAACAACGACGACCTGAATTTAGTTTTAGCTATTCAAAACAACGAAAATGAGACCTCGTTTGCTCGAGATTAATTTTGATTAAATTTATTAATATTTATAACCTCTTAAATCTTATTGACTTTAATTTTGACATAATTTATTTAATATTATGTGATTTCTGTGGAAATATTCTTTTAGTGTGTTTTAAAATGGTGGGCAAATATTTTATCGAAATTGTATTATTTATTTTTTTATTTATAAATATGAGAGGTGAATTAGTCTTTTCTGCCCTCTTAAAAGAATTTTTGATGGGGATCATTATTAGAGACAAGATGCTGTAATTAATGAAAGTTGAAAATAAATATGCGACGAAAAAAAAAAGTTAAAAATATAAATATAACAACAAACAAATATTAGAGGCTTTTATTATAATTAAAATATGGTACAAAAAATAAAAATTGCGATAATTTTTTTTTTCTTGAAAAGTAACTTATTAACAAAAGAAAAAAAAAAAAGAAACTCGAACAAAGGCAATATCTTTATATAACTCTTTCTAAGATTTTTATATTAGCCAATAAGTGTATTTTATATATTTATTCGGAGTTTAAAATAGCGATATTGATAGTTCTTCTGATAAAATATATCCTAAATTATTGCATTTTATGTTATATAACTAAAACTGATCAATGGTTGAACAAGGAACCAGAAGAAAGAAGCAAAAATTGATGAAAAATGACAAAATCCAAAGTTTGAGGACCAAAACATTTTGGAACCTAAAAAATTACAGTCTCATTGAAAAGTAATTTAAGTTTGTCAAAGATGAGTGCTCCCATGTAACACATTCATTTTTATTTTTATTTTTTTAATAAAAAGTTTGTCCTGTGCAATAATTCAATCTCAGCAAATCTTACCCTTCTGATCTGAACCCTAATATAGTGTACCAAATCCAAATGCACCCAAATGGGAAAATGTAATCACATGCATTCCACTCTGGTGTTGAGTGCCCAAACCCAAAGAGAAGGTGGCCAGAGATAAAGGCGGGGTAATGTTACTGAAGAGGGTGACAAGCTCTTGATAACTGCAGAGTATTGTAGGATCATTTGCACCTTTTCAATTATTAAAATTACTATTTTGTAGGGCCAAAAGTTACATTTAAGTCAAAAAATGTGTTAACTCGTTTTGTTTATACTTCGTTGTTTGTTGTTTTCGACATATTAAAGAAGAGATAATGAAAAGAAAAGGAGTGTAAACTGGACACAAACTTGTGGACAAAATCCCAACAATCCACCAACCACTCCCTTCCATTCTACTCCATCACTTCACCACCCCCTTGCATGTGTCCCTTATACTATAATACATTGAGGTATGATAATTAGGGTCATTTCGCTGGACTTTTGTTTTTGCTTTTATTTCTGTTTATATAATAAATTTTCTCGAAGACATTTTATTTCAAAAAATCATCTACGTAGGTCTAAAAGTTGTTTTTTAGTCTCATTGGCAGTTTTTAACTTTTCGAAAATCTTAAGGTAAATTCCTTTGGGACACCCAACTTTTCATATGGATGTCGTGTGGCTATTTATCGATTATAGAGGATTTGTTTGGCAGGGTTTTTGCTTCTATTTCCTTTTTTTGTATATGATGTCTTCTTTTAAAAAGCTCTTATAATAAGACAAATTACTTCTATAAAATTATTTAAATAGGTCCAATAGTAATTTTTTAGTTTTAGAAATAACTTTTTGACTTTTGACTTTTCAAAACCTTGTCAAATGAGCGCATGTACTTTACAGTTGGGTGAAGATGAACCGTGCTGCATGTACAGAGGTTCGACTTCCCACCTCATTTGAGAGGTCAGTAAGACCTCTGTGAATGCCATTTTTGTACACTTGGATTAATTCGGGTGAAGATACCTCAATTACTATTAAAAGGCTAGGGACATAACTGTCATACTTTAGGTCTAAAATTCTTATGGGTATTTACCCTAATTAGTAACACATCTCGTTACAATGTTTTTCACTTAACACATTTCAGCGTGAGAGATAGATAGATAGATATTCCACTGATATTTGCACGGCAGTTTAGGGTAGTTAAGGAGAAAAACTTCAACACGACGATCTTATATGCACATATGCTAAAATCGCTAACCTCAAACCATGCAAATCATAACACATCGGCTTCCTAAATGGTAAGAGTGAAATAAAGCGAACATTAAATTTCGAGACGTCGTGATTTGAATAGTTCAAAGTCCGAAATATCATGATCCAAATCAACGATTGTACTGAAATCTCTCTCCTAATGAAGCCCATTGCTTTTTGATAGAAATCATTCCCCAACACACACAGCTAATTATAATGGTATCCAAGGCGCGAATCAACTTTTATCTACGTTTGTTTTCCTTTCAACTGTTTCACCGGTAATCACTTTGGATTTGATGTTGCTTTAAAGAACATTCCTTTGCCGATGTTGCGTAGATCTCACATATTTATTTACCGTATTTACAATTGTTTTGAGTGTTGAAAGAACGTTAAATTGAATACGTGGTTATACTAAAATCGCTGTTCAAGATTTAAGGAAAGACGATTTAAATAGTTGAGACATTTTTTCGTCAGCTTAAAAAACTCGTGTTTATTATGCCATATCGATAGAATAAGATAAAAATTGTTAAAATATTTAAATAGATTAATGAAAATAGTAAGACAATGAATTATACCCATGAAAACAAAGAAAATGCAGTTTAAAGTGATTGTACGTTGCAATCAAACGGTCAAAGTGAAATTCATTTTCTTCTGATGTGACATTTTTCATGGAATTTGTTACAATCAAATAGGGACTTGTAGTAATGTACAGATTATGATTAAGATATCGTATAAAGGAAATTAGTGGGACCCATCAAACTAATTTGAGTAATTTGCCTATAAAGGCCACACCCACGGGCAGGGACGGACAGCCCCCCCTCGCCCCCCAAAAAAAAAAATTTGTAAAATTTTTTTTTTAAAAAAATTCATGTGTAAATTTTTTTTTCTTTACGTATTAGCCCCCCCTTACCTTGATCCTGGATCCGTCTCTGCCCACGGGTATCAAGAACAGAACTCAAAACAATTTCTTTCACACGGCCAATTGACATATTACTTTGGATTTGATGTTGCTTTAAAGAACATTCCTTTGCCGACGTTGCGTAGATCTCACATATTTATTTACCGTATTACAATTGTTTTGAGTGTTGAAAGAACGTTAAAATGAATACGTGGTTATACTAAAATCGCTGTTCAAGATTTAAGGAAAGACGATTTAGATAGTTGAGACATTTTTTCGTCAGCTTAAAAAACTCGTGTTTATTATGCCATATCGATAGAATAAGATAAAAATTGTTAAAATATTTAAATAGATTAATGAAAATAGTAAAACAATGAATTTCATCCATGAAAACAAAGAAAATGCAGTTTAAAGTGATTGTACCTTGAAATTTGGTTTGCATTTCCACGTTGCAATCAATCGATCGATCAAATTGAAATTTATTTTTCTCGGACGTGGCATTTTACATGAAAAATATAGCAATCAAACAGGGGCTCAGAGTAAAGCGCAGATTATTATTATTAATAAGAAATATCGTATAAAGGAAATTAGTGGGATCCATCAAACTAATTTAATTTGCCTATAAAGGCCACGCCTACGGGTATCAAGAACAGAACTAAAACAATTTCTTCCACACGGCCAGTTGAAGTCTCATCCACGCACATGATCCAACAATGGCTGACCAAAACTCAACAGAAGTCATAATCATGGCGGCACTTTCTACTCTATCCTCTTCCCATATCTCAGATCTCAGCCACTCCATTGCCGCCCTCTTCCACCGGCACCGTCGCCGCCTCTTCTCTCTCCTTTCCTCCCCAACCATCTTCGCCTTCACTCTACAGCACTTGCAAACTATCTCCCTTCACAAGAAGTCCCTTCTAATCGCCCATTATCTATTGCTTAATCTCTCCGTTTTGAACCACTTCATGAGGAATAATACCACCGCACCACCCTACGCCGGCGCCGGAATGAAACTCCGGGACCTTGATGCGGTTCTTCTTTTACTTCTTCTCTGCGAGTTGCATCAGAATGAACCGGAAGCTCTTGAACCGCCTCCGTCATTCTGGCGGGGGGTTCTGTGTAATTATGTGGCTAATACAATGTTGAAATTGACTAGCTTTGGAGCGTCCAATGGTGAAGTTCTGATGGAATACATAGAAAAGGTGGTTAAATGTAGGAATTTTGTTAATGTAATGGGTCGTGATAGTGGTGGTGGTGATGAAGGGAAGGACGGGAGGGAGGTGGCGACGTCCGTAGCGGCGGTGGTTGCTTTGCCATCGGTGGAGGTGAGTGGCGGCGGCAGGGAGTGCGTAATATGCAAAGAAGAGATGACCAAAGGAAGAGACGTCTGTGAATTGCCATGCAATCATTTGTTTCATTGGATGTGCATATTGCCTTGGTTGAAGAAGAGAAACACGTGTCCTTGTTGCCGGAGCAGACTTCCGACCAATGACGTTCTCGGCGAGATTGACCGGTTGCTGGAGGATCTCGCCAAGATTGACGATGGCGGCGATAGATTATACCGTGAATGCTTGTGTACATGATCAATTAAATTAAAGCTCGTCTTATAAAATCTCGAAATTAGTACAAAATATAGATATTATTTCCCCCTCGACATCTCAAATTTACTTTTGAGTTGAACCGTCAAATGAAATGACCTCGACTCAAGTGGGTAAAAAATGATGACTAATACAAAGTGGTGCATAATACTTTTGGCGGAAGATAATCATGAATTATCATCTCATCAAGATCGGTGATCACGGATACATAAATGATCATGTACATGATTAATTGATTAGCTTGACTCAAGTAGAAGAATGGACCGTTATGATGAAGGATTTGAAGGAGAATTGAAAACCACTCATTCATGATCACAAAAATGTGTTATGTGTGGTTCAGGGGTAGGGATAATCAGAGAAGCATAAATGCAAATTTGATATTTGTGGTACATGTACCAATAGAGACAGGAGAGTATACGTGTAAACTACGTCCTAAAACAAATGTTTGGTCTGAAAATAGAGATAAGTTTTATGGCTTGATTCGTTTGTTCAACATAAACATAATACCAAAATTGATTTGGAAGAGTTCGGGAGATACAAAAATATGTCTTCTAAATTCGGTCCATGTTTGGTTCAGCTAAAGAAGTTGATTAAACTTAAAGTCAAAATCAACAATAAATTTTAACTCCACGCTTCATGGAATTCATAACTTTTCAATCACACATTCCATTAATTTTTATCAGAATCTACTTAAAAATTGATTTTTTTTTTCTAAACCAAACATGGGCTAGATAAATAATATTGTCCCTGTTTGGCGTAGCTAAAAATCAGAAATTTATTAAATTTTGATTTTTTTTAAAAAGAAAAAATGTGAAATATGTGGTTGAAAAATTGTGTTTTTATAAAATGTACAGTTAAAATTAATTGCTGATTCAGACTCAATTTTTTATCCATTTTTTAAGCTATACTAAACATAGGCCAAGTTAAAAAAAAAGGTTAGTTGAAATCTTTAGTAATGTCCAAATTTAATAGAACAAAAATGCGCTTTTAGTTCTTCGAGCGAAAAAATTCACATACGATCAACTTACGTTCATACTCGTGTTATAACTTGTATGATTTAAAACTCATAACGAATTGGTCAATCTTTAGGCAAAACGCTAACGACGGTCTACAAGTTAATTTTTTTAATGAGACCAAAAATTAAACAAGATTATAAATTTTTTAAATATAACAGTTCAAGTTAACGTGCATAAATTTTGTTAAAAGAGAAAAACATCACATACGATTAATGAATTAATCATTAATATTCAATTTTAAACCCAAGTAATATTAAGCCCATGTTTGGTGGGATTAAAATTACAGATGGACATTTTTTCCAAAATTGGTGGAACCGGACGAGAACCGGATATAATCAATCGGTTCGGTTCCGATTTCTTTATTAAATGGATAGATTTTGAGATTATACATCGAGAACTGATTGGTTTCGATCCAATTTTTGGCATTGCTTAAAGAATCAATAGTAAATTTGATTCTCTCCAGTTTCTCTTTTTGTTGGTATGCACAAACATGCACTAGATATTTGAACATTAAACCTTAAAATTATCTCATGCCAAAATTTAACTATCCATACACTTCTTTTTCTTACTTCTACATTAAAGCTTAATGGGTAATCAACATTCAAATATAAATAATTTTTTTAAATATTTTACAAAAAATCATAGATTTAATGCAACCACAATGAGAAAAGGTATATTTTTAGTTCAAGGTTTCGTAAGAACTCAAATTTCTCGTTATTTTCAAAATGATTGATCATCATAATCAATATATTCTCCTTGAAGATAATCTGATTATAAATACTGCATACATTTTTTTAATATATATTGCTGTGTGGATTTTCTTAACAATTAATTTTTTTATCTAGATTTTACTGTTTTTATTGTGGGTAATAATTTATCATTTTTATGCCCTTATTAATTGATCTTGAGTCTTGGAGTGTATTTTTGTTTATTGCGTTGTTTAATTATTCTCTATTTTTAATTTGATAAGTAGTTAAGTAGTTTAATGTTTTATTTAAAAAGGCTAGAGACGAGCTCGCCTACCACTAATGGGTAAAAAACTAAAAATTGAAATACTAATCTTTTTAATTCTTCTTGTTTTCTTCAAATTCATAAATGTATTCACAAAAAAAAAGAAAAAAAAAAAAAGAACGAAAACGGCAAGCCAAGAAGAAGAAGCCCCTTACCGATAGCAAGCAGCAGCAGAGCAAGTCAGCAACCGGCAGGTCTGGGTTTGCAAATTGCCGGTAGCAGAGCAAGGAGAAGGAGAAGTGAAGATCCGATCGAAGGTCCGAAGCTGCCCGCGAAGGCGAAGGTGAAGTCTGAAGAGTGAAGAGAAGGGCTTGGAGTAATGGAGTCCACTGGGTAAATGTAATGGATATTATTTCATTTATATTGGGGCCTAATTTTTTTAAAAAAATGCCCAACTCTCTCACACCAAAACAAAAGGGCCAAAACTATATTAAAAAAAAAAAAGAAGCCCAAACTGAAAATAATGGTCTTCTTCTTCTTCTTCTTCTTCTTCTTCTTCCCTTCTCTTCACGTCTTCTCTCTGCAATGGCAATTGTGACTCGACCCCCAACGATATTGGAGACTCCGACGGATCCAGCACAGCGGCAGCACCCCCTCGCCGAGTGCTGGGTCCGTCCCTACATATAACCCCAAAACAAAATATAGCCAAACTGGAAAACATAGAACATAAGCATGTATCAGCTTCCAATTCACGGTTAAACAAGTGCACGAGTCGGCCACCCACACGTTCTTTTTTTCTAAATAGAGTTTTTAAAAAATAACAAAAAGAAAAAATTACATAAAACCTTGTTTGTCTACCAATATTTAATAATTCTTTTTTTTTCTCAAACTCATTATCATTAACACATTATCGCTATAAAAGCTCTTGTTTGGATCAATATTAATAACATTCCATCAAATTTTATCAAAATCTGTTAAAAATCTAGCCCCCATTTGGCCCTCATTATTTGATATTATAATTTTTGGAATACTATTTTTTTGAAGAATGTGTGGTTAAAAAAAAAAAAAAAAGTTTTGGATTTACATATAGGCTATGTTTGGTAAAAATTCTCATTTTCAACAGTAAATCAATTCTCATTTTCAACTACACATTCTTTAATAAAATGATATTTTCTATCACATCAATAATCTTATCTTCTTTTTCAACCACACATTTCCAATCATATCACTATTCAAAATCAATTCTTCCCCCCAAAAAATCCCTACCAAACACACACATAATATTATTTTATTGAAAAATGTGTGGTTGAAAATGAAGAAAGAGAAAAATGAATTAAATTAAAATGAGTCCAAATGGGGGCAAAATATTTTGGTAAACCCAAATTTTTTTTTTCTTTTTAACCACATATTTTTAAAAATTTCACTATTTCAAAATTCATTTTTCTACTTTAATCTTGACAAACATGGGCTAAATTCCTACTTTCAAGTTTCAATGTTCAAATTGAGGTAGTAAATCACGTATATTAATACACTCATCTTGTCACCACAACCCACCCCACACTTAGCCCTTGTTTGGCCCCCATTAAATTACATTACATTAAATTTTTCTCTCTCTTTATTTATACCACACATTCATCAAATAAAATAATATTACACACAAATAAAAAAAATTTCAACCACACATTCTCCCATCAATCACTATTCTAAAAATTTTCAACCCTAAAAAATGCAAATTAATGGGGGCCAAACAGGGGCTTACATGTCTCCAATTTAATTATCAGCCCAAACGAATCACGCTACTGTTGAAGACTTTCTCTATTGCTGTTCATCGCTGCCGCCACTTCCACCACCTCTGCACCCGACTGCGCTTCATCTCCGCCTTATTGGAGAATTCTTCAATGCCGTCATTTATGGGTTATGCGACCACCTTACGGATATAGGTTTGTTGGTGGCGGCACGTAGGGGCTCTAAGTAGTTGAAGGGTTGCTAGTTGTGGCGCTGCAATTGGCAGTGGTCCGGTTAATGGTTTCCATAGGTAACCTCAATACGCTTTGAAATTGGTGATTTTTTTAGGGGATAAAGGTGGTGTCGACGTAGTGTGGATGGATGATGTGAAAGCACTACGTTGCATGCCGATGGTGATTGTTGAATAATTATCATCAGTTTTCTACATCTTTCCTTATGCAACCAATTAGAGAAACCTAGAAGAATCCATACACTAACTCTATTCTAGAGTCCATGAGAATTTCTTATAATTAATTTATGGAATTATCTAGAATCATCAACCTTTGTGTAGAAGAATCCAATGTCCATATGTGTGTGTGTGTGTGCATGCTCATTACATTAGTAGTGTATTTGAGTGTGTAAGTGAAAGAGTGCAAAGAGAGTGAGTGTGAAAGAGAGAAAGTGCAAGGTGTGTGTTTGTAAAGAAAATATTTTTGTAAATAAAATCACTTTCATTTGGCTTTTAAACTCAACAATTTGGTATCAGAGCTAGACAGTCGGATACGGATTTTTTGGGCTTCTTGAGTTCGTGTACAAAAGGAGATTGTGAAGTTTTATTAAAGTTTGCTTGATTACAAGGAGGTAAATCAAGTCACGATGGGTGACCTACAAACAACATGCGGAGTAAAGAAGCTCACTAATCAGAACTACACCACATGACAATCTTGCATGGAGTCGTATCTCCAAGGACAAGACCTGTGGGAAGTTGTTGATGGAAGTGACGTGATGCAGCCGAGGAGGCCGGAGCTCTGAAGAAATGGAGAATCAAAGTGGCTAACACAATTAATGAAGGATTTACATCAACCAGTAAGCTATACACAATTATATTGTGATAATCAATCAACTATTTGTATAGCAGAAAATCCAGTTTGCCACGCAAGAGAAGGTACTTAAAGGGGAGATCGACTTGAAACATATCAATACTGAAGAACAAGTCGCAGATATTTTAACGAAAGGACTCAGCGCTTCAAAATTAGAAAAGTTTCGAGCACAACTTGGGATTATAAGAAGAAA